CCCCCAGTTATCTGCTGGACCCGGGCTCTAGGAAGAAAAGCTTGGTGAAAAGACTTCTGGCTTTACTAAGACACATTAAAGAATTAATTATACAGTAAAGCTGAAGGAGAAAATTAATTTTAGAAACACAAGAGGTTACAATTTTTTTTCCTGGAGATGGGGGAGGAAACACAGTTATTTTCGTTTTCATCCTGGGGGCACAAGCTGGGAGCTGTCCAGTCGATAACCTGGCCATCAGAACAAGGTTTGTAATTAAAAGGTCAGTGACCTGGAAAGCCAGGGCCCCACTCCCAGAGCTTCTCAGTAATGACGGAGCTATTAAATTAAGACTGTTATGAAATCAATGCTAAAAAAGCTTTCATGGTAACGAGATTCCATTCAAGGACATGCAAACTACCTCATGAAATGAACGTAAATGATAAAAAAAAAAGAGAGAGAGAAAGAAAGAAAGAAAAGTAATAAAAGAGTTAAATTGAAATCTGTGTAAGAATTTACTCCCCCTTAAAATATTCCAGTGAAAGAAACCCTTCACATCTACCCTCCTACCAAGGTTGGACCATTAGGTTTCTTCCTCAAGTTCATTTCCAGCAAGGAGGCAGTTTTGCTACTGGGGGTTCCGCTTCCAGGAACAGAGGAAAGATAAGATCTAGTTTCACCTTTTAGAACGAGAAAGTATGGTGTTGAGTTTTATTTGTTCAGTTTCCCTCCCCTACCCTGGACTATTTATTGGATGAGGGAGGAAAAAAGCCCTTTATTTATACACTTGAAAAGAGCACAATCAAGTCGAAGTGCCCACCACCGCCACCCAGCCTTACTCTGCCGGGTTAGACAGAAAAGCATGTGATGTTCATCTTTCTTCTGGAAGCCTGCTTTGCCACAGCTACGTTAGAGTGAGTTAACAGACAATTCTACCCACCCCAACCTCATCCACCTGCTCAGCCCCATCGTCCCCACCACACACACACTCCTACCCACCCTATACTCAGCCTGCGGAAGTGCTGGGAAGCAGACTGCATCGTGCATTTGTGGCTGGGGAGGGGGGCAACTCAACATAAGCCTACTCACAAGGACTCCCAAGCCTCTAACTTTCTGGACTGATTCTATTGCTGTTCGCAAGTTACTCTAACCTCCTGACTGCAATCTGCTTAGAGCCCAGATAGGATGCCTGCTTGGCAAGAACTACTTCTATATATAGACCAGTGCTGGGAGGGCTTGAACCCCACACACACAGTCCAATTATCTTCATGTGTGGCTGACTGCAGCAGACGCATCATCTGCAAAATCATGTGGTCAGAAAGAAAACAAAACACTCATTCTAACACTCTGAAGGTGAACAGCTGCTTTTCTCTTTCATCCAAAAAGTTCCTGATAGAAGGAAGAAACGCTGTAAACACAAAATAGCAGTACATACTTCAAAAAAATGATGAATGATTCTAATAACTTCATGTTTCTCATTAATGACTCCACATCAGACTTTAAAGCATCCAAAAGAGATCTCAAAACAACACCCAAAGAGCCCAAACGAAAGAGGCTCCTAACCCTTTGCAAACCAGTGCTCTTCCATCCCTATCCCACGCCCTCCCCACTGTCCCGGCCCAGCCCCCCAGCACCCCCATCACAGAGAGCAGCACACTTAACCTGTCACTAAGAGGCAGGATGCAGCCCCTGCTCTGGGCTGTGGTTTCACAATGAAACAAACTCCACTGATGCGCCTAAAGTAACCCTCATTTTCCACTGAACTGACATGCACTACAGGGACCTCAATTTCTATATTAAATATTAAATAATATTAAAAGAAAAACAAAATTGGATTTGCCTTTTCAGGAAAGAGATGTTTATTAAAAAAAAGAAAGTCAAGATTATAATTCAAGTCAGTGCTCTGCTGCAATTCCCCGAAGTGACATTTGCGAGGAAAAGCCAAGACTACAGTAGCTGAGAGCTCTCCCACCGCCCGTGCTCCAAACCAACCGCTGCAACGATCCTGCGGGGAGACTGAGAGAGGATGCCAGAACCCTGGTCCCGCCCGCCCCCACGGTCAGCGAGCCAACTTTTCCTTCCACCACTACAGTTAGGGACGGGATGGAGGCTCCTCATCCCCAGCACAGACCGTGCCAAGCTATGCCGATCATGTAAGCCTGACCCAAGGAACAGCCGGAAATTAAAAAAGTGAAGTTTAAATCCACGAAGGGGCTTTTCTTCCCCAGACGCCAATCAAACCTTGGAATCCTCTGCCCAGAAAAGGTCCTGCCAGAACCTACTCTACTGGGATTCGACTCGGAAATGGATAATTACTGACTAAAGCAGCATTTTAGAGGATAATGGAGATGGGTGATTAACTTCAGTGATGCTGGGTTTAAGTACAGGAGTAGACTCCTGGTTCTTTTTAGAGGAAGAAGGGTAGGATAGCCTCTCAAGCTTCCAGAGGCCTAAAATTCTCAAAACTCTAACCCACACGACGGGTTGAGAAAGAATGAAGCCCACTCAGTTAATAAACTCTCATTTCCTTCAGGTCTCTGCTCCAACGCAACCTTGGAGACATTCTGACATTTGCCCTGTTCGAAATCATATGCCACCCGACACCAACCCTGGGTTCCTCAACCCTGCCTTCCCAGTTTCATTCTTCCCCATGGCGCTTTCTATTGGACAAGCTACGTATCTCATTTTTCCTTCTGTTAATTATCTGCCTTCCACCCACTGGACTTGAAGCTCTGAGAGGGCAGGAATTTTGTCTGTTCTGCTCTATGCTCATCCCCAGGGCGTGACACAAGATGAGCAGTCACTCTTGGATGTATTAATTAATTAATCGATTGTTTTTTTAAAGGAGCAACAAATAATACTTGCACGAAATGGTTTTCTCTCTACAGTAATTATTAGCCAAGTAACTCAAAAGAAGTATTATTTGGTCCAGAGTTTCTCTCTCTCTTTTTTTTTCTCTCCTTCTCCCAGCCAGGGATTTATTAAAATTAAACAGATTAGATGGAGCTCCTGATACTAAAACTGCTCAGCAAAGCCTGCGGTGGGGAAGTGCCGAGCAAACACCAGAGACATTTGTCTCTAAATTGCTCTAAATACCTTCTGCAAATGAAATTCTAACCCAGCTGCGTTTGAGAGAAAATGAGGACTAACTGGTCATTGTCGGTGGAAGAGAAGATCAGGCAGTTATAATATTGCACAATATACTGGGGCTAAGGATCTCTCAGCAACCATAGATTTTGTCTCAGGTTACCCCGGGTAATCAGCTCAGCTTTTAGGCTCAGCTTTCCCCAGCTTCAATGCTTTGATGAGAGAGCTGAAATCCCTGAGCTTTTATGATTAATTACTCCCCATAGGTACACATATTTCAAGGAAAAACTCTTTTATGGCATGATGCTTGCAGAGTGGAGAGGCCAGCCAACACGCTCCAAATTTTAATAATCTCCTAATGATGGGGGGTGAGCAAGATGCAGCCAGCAAGCACACTGTGGCCCTCACCAAGTCTGTCACAGGGACCTGGCCTACCGTGAACCAGCTGCCTATGAATGAAACGCCTGGGCTTATTCTGCCCAAATCTTGTGAGCGCTGCCCTGGGATGTGAGAAGTTGAAGGCACCAAAACAGTCCCACAGCACCACTTTGGTGGGAAACGGCAGACCGGACCTAGGAAATGCCACCAAACCATTCTATTACGTTTTTTTGGGTTTTTTTGTTTTGTTTTGTTTTGTTTTTGTTTTTGTTTTTTTGACAGACAGACAGAAAGTGAGAAATTCTCTTCTTACTCCTGGAGAAGACGGTCACACCACAATCCCTTCTCCTCCATTCTCTTCTTGGGATCTTGGACCCACACACACAGTGTGAGTTTTAAATCATCAGATCTAGGACTTGAACCATGGCCGACTACATGGAAGTCTAGCAACATAACCGTTACGCCATCTGCTGGTCCCCCATTCTATTATAGCCAAAAATGATTGAAAGTTCAAAACCAGAATTTTCAGGCCAATGTTCCAGCTCCTAAAAAACAGTTTTGTTAGCAGGTAGCATGGTGGTTAAAGTGCTGGACTCCCACATGGAAGATTGTAATTCAAGTCCTGGACCCATCAGCTTGAAAATCACACTGGGCACATGTGTGTATGTGCCCAAAATCCTGAGAGGAGAATGGAAACGAAGGGATTGTGGTGTGGCCATCCCCCCTGGAGAGTGATTTCTCACTTTCCCTCTCTTTGTCTCTCTCTAGTGAGTGTGTGTACCCTATGACAAAACCTTAAAAAAAAAAAAGTTTTGTTTTGGGAGGGAAAAAAAATCACTTTTCCCCCTCTTGGTGGCTAAGAGCCTTTTTTAAAACAACTTCCCAGTTTTCTGAGGATTCTTCAGTCCTTTGACAGGTCTGGCCATGCTCATCCTGGTTATTTTCATTTTACAAAAAGAAAAATGTCTAAGTTCCAACAGAACCAGAAGAGATTCTTTCTGTTTCAGACAATATTGAATTTGTCAGGATTCATTTTATCCCTGCTTACAGAAATACCATAAAACCAGTAATTTACCACTTCAATCTGTAAATCAGACTGACCCCAAGCTTGACCTTAACCTGACCTTGTTTAGTCATCTCATTTCCCTTGTCCTTCATTTCTTTCTTCCTCATTCTTTACCAAGCAGCTGACCTCCTAACCTAAAGCCAGTCACTCTGCAGACGGGGTCACTTGGCAAAGAACAGAGCAGAAAGCAGAAGTCTTCCACAGTCTTTTCCAGTGGGCTACTGAACGCTGCCTTTGCCATGATGTTCTAGGCTGAGTCCTTGGCCTTATATCGGGTGCCTAATTATCTGAATCATGTAATCTCTCTGTTCCATTGTAAGGAAAGAAACCTACATTCCTCACCCGGGCAGGCCTCACCCCTAACTCCCCACTCCTCCTAGAGTGGACGGCAACAGGAGGTCCTTGTACTCAGCACCTGCGTTCCACACTGTGGCTTCTATCTGCCCTTCCCCAGTCCCTTTCTGCCAGAGCAGTGGGCCGTGGGGAGTCGTACCTTTCTTCTTAAGGAATGCTCTCCTCGTTGCAAGTGGGCTCTGGCGGACCCGGGAATTCTGTAGAAACTTCACTGCTGTGGCAATCTGGTAGGGAAGATAAAACAGAGAAGAAAAGTAAACTTCAAAAGCCTGAATTTCAAGATTAAAAATCCTATGAGTTTTTCCCAGGGCTTTTAGGAACAAGCATACCACTTCGGTCAAATATATTACCAGTTATTTCTTAAATATAAAAATTACCTAAATCAAAGATTATACAGTTACCCCACCTGTTTTCATTGGCTTGCTGTATCTGAAGTTATCAAATCTAAGCCGCTCAGCCTAGCTTTTCCAGTTCTCCCCTGTTCAAGCTGTTTCTTCAACCCCTCAACAGGGCTGGCCATGCTCTCATCTGTGTCACTACACTTGGGCCATGCATGTCCTCTTTCTGGAAGGCCTCCCTTTCCCACCTTTACCTGTCTAAACATTATCTATCACCACCACCCCACGCACGCGTGCAGACACATACACACACACACACCAGCACAGCCCTTTTACAGCCTGCTCTGACTTCTTGAAGCCTTCCCTAAATAAGCAAGCTACTCTGATCTCCCTCTTAAGTTCTTCAATGCTTGTAGTGTGTAGCATATAATTGAAGACATAATTACACTGTCTTCTAACATTCAGGCTGCCTCCCCAACTACACAGCAAGCAGCTGAAAGAAAGAGACCGTGGTGCTGGACAGAGCCTGGCCAAGTGCTGAGCTCCACCAGCTGGGGTGTTACGTGAGAGAGACAACACATGGCCTCTCACGCTGGCCCCTCTCATGCAGTGGACTGAGTTCTGGAAAGCCTTCGAAAGGCAGAGCCTAGGGTTCCTTGGCTAAGAGCTGCTTAGACTGACAGGTTACCTACCTACCCCTGGTAATGAGTATTACTTAATGAACTCTTACTCTCTATGAATAAGCCAAGTAGGGGATAGAGCGAAGACTGTGGGTGGCATCACCCTTCGCACCACTCAGCACAGGGAGCGCCGGGCCACTGCTGTCTGATCATCCCAGATGCCAGTCCTCTGGGTGGGAAACACCAACCTGCCCCAGGCAGGAAAGGTGCTGTGTTAAATGACTGGCATTATTCACTTCAGTAACACCAAGAGTAATATGGTCTCAGGTTTCAGGTAAAGTCAACAGGACCTGTTGTTCTCTCAAAAGTTGTTGAAAGAAAAAATGTGTAAGGGCCAGATGTAAGGAAGTTTTCTAAAATCCTTCAAACTGAGGGTCGCACTTATGCAGAGACTAAAACAGAAAGTGCAGCGACTGTAAATGAAATCCAAATTACAAATCATCTCCTTCCTCATATTTTTAATGAATTTAATCTTGAAACCACACAGACTTCTTAGGAACAAAAGATATGAGAATAAATCAGAAAGAAAGGAAGAACATAGAAACTCTTTCATCTATCTGCCTGTAACCCTTCTGTGGGAGGCTTACCCTCCACATTGTCCCTAAAGGATAAGCTGAAGTACCCTGACTGTTCTGGTCCGGGCTGGTTACCACTAAGGCATATTCCTGTTCCTAGAGGGCCCGCCAGCTCCACAACCAGGGCTCACCACCATCATGAACAGCAGGGCTAATCAATCAGTTCTGGACGATGAAAATCCACACTTTGACTTTAGAATCCCCAAACTACACGCTCACTCCTTAGCCCCTCAAACCTATCTCAAGGTGCACCAAAATCAGGAAAAATCTTACAAACAACGCTGATGTGTTTAAATGAAGAGATAGGAGAGGGGAAAGATAAATAAAAAAAGACAAAAAATAAATAAGGAAAGAAAGGGGACTAGGTAGAGAATGCAAGGGAGAAAGAAAGCAAGAGGTCAAAAGAGAGGCACAACAGAAGAGGGGCAAAAAAAGGAAAGAAGAGAAGTGAGAAAGGAGGAGAAAAGCAAAAGATTTGGAAAGAGCGCGGACAGACACACAATCACAGGCCCCGGACTACACAGCTCAGATGGCTCGGGGATAATCATTTTTCACCTGGAGAAAAAAATACACCTTCAATACACAAGAAAATTCCAGTATTTGTATCGTGTGGCAGTGTCTGTGTGCTGTGCTGTGTGTACCAGGTGTCAGAGGAAATGTGGATGAGCAGGTCCTGAGCAGTAGATGCTAATAGCACAGCTCCCCTCGTTTACCTGTGGAAACAGGAGCCTTTCCTTCATCTTTCCAAAATTTTCCATGACAGAGAAAGAAAACAGGAGCCCACCACTAAAACGCACAGGTTTCACCTTTCTTTTTTAATATAGTCCTTGGTATATGCATTTCTGGTCAGAGAGCAAAGTTCTGATGGGTTTAATGGTGCACTCAATGCAGTGCTTGGCGCATTCCATCAATTTTTTTTTTTAAAAAATTGCATCTCTTATTTCTTTAAATACATTAATCAGCCTAGTGTAGGCAAAACGGATCCATCGGACAATGCAATAAACATGAATTATCATCTATCCAACACGCATAATGGCTTAAAAATACATAATAGCAGGTGTAGTTTAAATGATTAGTTATTACACCTGTGGTGGGTCTGATTCAATTGGGAAAAATCATCTTTAATAGGTTAAAAGGTTTAGATCACCATGCTTTCCTTAAAGTGGCTGCAGAGAGGGAATGATGGAGTGCTCTGTCATTAGTAATTCATTTAAGAAGAACGTGGGGGATACAGCAAAGAACAGCATAAACGAGCGAATCCAATTTAAACATCAGGTAAAGTAGAAAACACCTTTTAAAAAAGCAAGATAAATGAATTTGGAAGGGAGATGAAATTGACGTATTTATTTTAACGGGAATTTGACAAAGTCCCGGCACACTTCAAACTTGCAAAAATATGAACAATTTCTTTTAAAGTTTCCATTCACTAATTTCAAGTCATATAAAATAATACTGCCAAACACCTACATAAAGTATATCTGGGGCTTGTTTATGTTCCTCTTGATCTTTGTCTGAAAATGCAGGCGACAGGCAAATCACATATTTAACAGCATCGATATCACTACGCCAGATGCAAAAATATAAAGCACCCAAACTAATAGCCTCGACATAATGGCTGAATAAGAAAGATACCCAGGTAAGCAGCTACATGTAAGCATGAACGTAAGAAAAACCTCTCTCCTCCTTTCACTAATTATTTCTTCAGCTACTCTTTACTCTGCCCCCTCCCCACAAGAAACCTGTACTACAAGGAGGGGGAGAGAAGGGCCTGTCCAATCTAGAATTTTATAGCCGTATGATTCATACATCCATGGTAAAAGACTTCCCAAAACTCCTTACCCATGATGCAACGATCTCCACACACTCAATAACTGACAGGGCGCTCGCTCTGTGTCTTTCCCTCGCCTATTGTTGGACACTTTCATAAACTTCATGAAGCAATTCAACTGACTTTGCTCTGCAGAGGTCCAACACACACAACACGCTTTTGTTGGATTCGATGATGGGATGCCTGCAGCCTGTCCCGTATGATCGTTTGATTTTCTAATTAGAAGATGAATGTGACTATTCATGGGTTATATTTGTGCCCAACTAAATTACATAAATTCAGGCCAAATCTTCCGCCTCAATGTCAAAGATGTAAAACGGAGACAGGAACTTTATTGCACATGTTGTGGGAGTGCAGCAAGCCAGGGAAAATTCTGGCGCAAAGCTCCTGATGCCGTTGTCGAGGTCGCTTGCCGTTGAGTCCATGATAAATATGGAATCCGCTTTCCTTCCACCTCCTCTTGCACTGATTGGGTTCTTAATGAGTGCACCTCAAATTACGAGCAGTTAGTTTAATAGAGATGACAAACTCAGAAGAAAACAAAAGCAAAGATCCCCCCCACCAATCCCTTTGACCCCTATCCTCTGTCTTCTGCCCCTCAAAGCACCTGCTACTGCCATCGTCACAATTTGAGGGAACATTTGGCAATTTTTACTGTTTATCACTTCAAGCTAAAGACAAAACTGAGGTGCAAAGAAGAGCCCTGCAACAATGGTTAGCCTGGAGTCGCTGCCGACAACTCAGAATAAAGGGGGGACTTCAGGCTGAAACACGCCTTTGGATCCAGGATGATTGGCCAATTGAGAGAGATCTGTGTTTGAGAGGCCAGGATTTGTAACTGTATAAATCAATAGAACACAGTATACTCAGGGGTTATCTACTATGAACTATGTGCTATTAAATGCACTGTGTAGGGTAAGTAATCCCTGGGGAGAAGAACTGAGGTTCCTGACAGTCCCCTCTGTAGAGATGCTTCCTATGTGTCTTCCATAAAGACCTGCACACAGTAATCGTCAGAGCACACATACTTTGTTTTCTGCACGAGGGGTACAGGAGAACAGAGTATGCCTAATAACGAACCTGGGGTTTGAGGGAGCCTTAGCACTTTGCACCTGACATGTAAGGCTGATGCATTGTCTCCGGTGACACCTACTTGGAATGCCACCAACTCCGGCACTCCTGTGTACCACATACGCATCCATCTCCTAAAATGTGAGCATTCATTAGCCATTTTAAAATATTAAAAATATTCAAAAATTAATGACGCTAACAACCAACGCCAAGTCCTTTTTAGCCCGGAGAGATCACAAAGAGAGGGCAAGAGAAAATGACCAATATGTGGGCCTGAAACCCCACACCAGCCCCGCGCGGTGACACGTGCGCTGCTCAGAAGATTAAATTGCCTGTGAAAGGTTCCTACGCGCGTACTCTAAAGTAGATACCCAGAATCCCGTTAACAAGCCTGACCCAAGCCAGCATGAGTTTTAACAAGGACTGACTTTAAAAGCTGGGCATTGCTGAGAATGAGAGAATCCTCTTCCAACAGAAATGCTGCATTTTAGTAAGAAATCAGTACTCTGTCAGGAGTTCCTTGACAAATATGGTCATCGGTGGCACTAGGAAATAGTTGCAAAGCAGCTGTTAATCAGAGAAACACATCGTAGAACGCTGATGCTAGCACTCGTGAAAAAATGCACCGGGCTAATTATGAAGCTATATATCTCACTAAAGAGGCTGTGTTCCTTGAGATTCCAGGCAGAGCACTCTCAGATCCAGGGTCCTAGGACAACATAATTCTGCTTT